ATATGCACGTTTTAGCTTATTGAAACGCTCAGACAATTAAGTCGGAAGAATCTGCTGTTTGTATTGAGATCTGATTTCATATCGAGTTTACCTGAGCTCTTTTTGAGACTCCAGAGGTGAGATTAGGTGTTTTTCTCAGGAGGCCAAACTGAACTTTCACTAGAGAAACGATTAAGACATTAAAGAGATCTCATTTGCATTTCCCTAGCTGTCAATTTTTCAATAAAACTTTTTTTTTAATGAAGTGACAAATCGCAGAAACGTTCCTGGCGACTTATAGATATGTGTACTCTTGTGCAATTAGTGGCATGTTCTCCCTGTAGCTGTGGATTATCCCACTCACTATTGCCCCTAAAAATCAATAGAAAATCATTAAATCGGTGCTCAAGCAAAAGCCCTGGCATATTCTCCACCTCAAGCTGTCTGAACCGGAGGGCCACGTTTGTGAAGATAAGCCGAGGATGGGCCCAGCTGGTGGGCACCAGCGTCAGCCGCTCTACACTCTAATAATCCCCGTATTTGTTACACCCACCTCGCAGCGCTGGCCCCCATAGGGCCCTGCTTCAGGTCTGCATGTCATCAGCGTGCTGTGTTTGAAGATAGGCCCTGTGTGTTATTATGAGCTAATGAAAGCAAAAGGAGAGTGGAACCTTCAAATCCCACCGGGAGTATTACAGTCGACAGGCCGCGCACGTATCTCCGTGCACCCATGGCCTGGAAGCAGCACATGCATTTGAAATCATGTCATGTGTGTGTGTGTGTATGTGTGTGTGTGTTAGAAAGGCATATTAACATATATGCATGGGACGGACAGACAACTGTGATACCACTTTTTAATGCAATACACTTAATCTGAGCTGACTTCGACTGCTTTAAAGAAAAATGGACTCAAAGCTCTTAACGGTAAATATGTCACAAATTATTGTGAGTTCGGTGAATCTTTTAGACTGACAACATCTGGATTGTTCATTATGATTACTGCAAATTAAATCATTCACATGGTAGATATGACAGAAAAGTTAGCAGTGTTTGTAAGTCAATCATCACTTAAAAAAAAAAAAATCAATGACACCCTCAAGAAGTAATGATTAACATCTGGGCTGAAACAAGTTACATGCATGTTACCCATTGTCTGGTGTCTGTGCAGACCTCAACATCCTTAAATGAAAAGCCTATAGGATTAAAATGGTTTAATATTAAAGTTTTTAACTTTGGTGTGTAACTTATCCTGAAGCATTTGTGTTATGCATGATTCCTCAAATCGAACAGCCAGAAAACCAGAAAACAATTTGTGCATAAATGCCCTGGTAACCACCCAGTACACACAATCATTATGGTTGCATTGAGTAAATATATATATTTTTAAATATGTGCTTATGGTTGGGATGAAAAAATATGTGAAGAAAATGTACTCATGTACTTGTGAGTGGACTAGGGCCATTAGAATGTGCATGGATGCCCAAGCATTGGTTGCAACGAGTAATAATGTTCAGGAAAATGAGTGAGCTATTTTGACCTGTAAATATGAACGTGTAAATAATATGATATGCAATTAAAAAGTTATGTGAACTTGACTTTAGCAGCCTGAGATACCGTACAACAGTTGAATCTGTTCTTGTCAAGCTAACATTGTGTGTTCCTCCGCTGTCTGATGCAGATGTCACACACAGGTCTGTCTCCTATAGAAGCACGCTCTTCTTGTGCATGCTCACCCCTCTGGAATAAATAAATAAATAAATAAATAAAAAGGCAAAAAAGAAAGTGTTTATTTTCATGTTTACACCGTTTCATATTCACAGGGCTGGTAACAGGATTACTCAGTGACAAACAAGAATTTGTGGAATTCCCTGACTTCTTGCATCTGTTGGTTGCCTTCTTTAAAGGAAGAAAAAATCCTCAGTATTAAAGAATCCCCAGAAGCCCCTGAGGTTTGAGCGGGAACCTCTGCGCAGCGCTAGATAAAGCTGCAGTCTGCAGAGGGTCTGGCAGATAATGAAGCATGTTCCTTTAATTGCACTGAGGGCCCTTATGCTCCTGCGTTAGTCAGACGATCTCATCGCAGATGAGTAGGGACATATCAGACTGCTATATCAGAAGAGCTGTGATTGCTGCCAAACCCCGATGAAAGGCCCACACACTTGTTCTCATCCCTTGTTCTACATTTGTTTCAGCAGTAAATGTGTTTTGCGTTACTCCTCTTAAGCTCTGTGTTTGTGGGACATGACTCTGGGAGGCTTTCGAGAGTGCCAGCAACGCACCATCTCGAGCTTCCTCGACTTCTTCCTGAGGTCCACACACGGTTAACTGGAAACAGACTGCATGTGGAAGTTTCAATCCGCTCACATTTCCTTTTCGCTCCATGACTGAACCTCGATTGAAAATGGCGTCTTTGCAGCCGATGACATGCTTGTTGAGTTGTAAATCAGAGAAGAGAAAAGCAGTCTTGTTTAAACAGATTACTGGTATTACGTTAAACTAAAAGTCAACATTAAACTGGCTCTACTTTCTAAATGCGTGTTCTTGGACTTTACTGCACGATTCATATGCATGTGATGCCGAAGAAGAAAAAAAAATAAGTCTGAAGAGACTTTCCTTTTCTGCTGGCCTCTATTTTTTGGTCTCTGTCCTGTGCAATTTTATATTTATTTTGATTCTCTCTTTTTTTCCACTTGCTGACCAACACAGAACGTTTTGTTTAGCATTAAATGAAGAGCAAAGTATGATTATGTGTTTAATTGATATTTCAGATGATTTTATTTCATCCTTTCCCTGCTGCCACAGAGCCTGATGGGTAATGTAGTTTTGTTTCAAAAGCCTGTCATGCTATAAATAAAATCACTCTGACATGACATGAATTTGAATTTCAAAACTTTCTCTCCAGTCCATATTTTGAATTGGAAAATTATCACTGAAACACATTTTTGAATAGTTATTGAAACATAAACACATATGTTATGGTTCAGAAGTTTGGGATCAGTTCGATTTTTTGCATGTATTTGAAAGAAATCTCACCAAGGCTGCACGTATTTGATCAAAAACACAGTAAAAACTAAAATTTTGTGAAGTATTATAACAATTTAAAATAACAACTTTCTATTTTAATATATTTTGAAATGTAATTCCTGTAATCAAAGCTAGCATTAGTCCAGTATTCAGTGTCGCATGATCCTTCAGAAATTTGTCTAATATGCTGATATACTGCTCAAGAAAAATATATATATATTTGATCAGTTGAAAACAGAATTTTGTAGAAACTGTGTTTTTTTTCAAGAATATTTTTAAGGTTAAAAGCATTTATTTGAAACAGCAATATTTTGTAACATTATAAATGTCTTAACTGTCACTTTTGATCATTTTAATGCGTCCTTGCTGAATAGAAGCATAACTCAGACTGCGTTGCTGGATGATAAACTCGACCGGTGTGAAGAGCCAGTCATAACAGATGTCATTTACATATAGAAGTCTTAACTGTAAAATCAGAGAGATTGAAAGTAGTCATGGACACTAAATTAAGACTGTTTTGGTGCAATAACCCTTATTTTCAGGGAGAACAATTAAACTCCAAACCCAGCATATGCACGCATAACTCTGTTTTACAAGGCGACAGCAAAAGCTGTGTTGAGTCCAAACTCAAGGATGTTCTCTTTTGTCTTGAGAATGTGTCAGTGCATCTTAACCAGCGTGAGCGGCTGCCAGCAGAGAGATGTTGAGGATTGTGCACAGATGGTTCAGCGGCGACTCCACACCGCCAGAGTTTCAAAGCCTAATCCCTCAGTATACAGGGTCACCTGTTTTACAAACAACTTTAATTGCCATTTTGTATTTACAGCACAGGCACACTACACACTTCTTGGGTAAAGAGTTGGGGAAATAATGAAATAAAGAGGTTTGCTTAGGGAAAATAAGCTATGCTACTATGTAGGGTGAGCTCAGTTGATCCCAGTTGCATATGCTGGTAATCACCACTGCCTGCTGGATTTGCACACAGGCACGCAACAAACAGGCCTCTGCCAGGACCCTGCGCAGTGTGTGTCCTTCTGACTGATGCATTATATATCAGGGTCCAAATATGGAATCTCCAGATGCTTTTTCTGTAACAGCTTGAGACTTGTACTTATCTCTTTATAGGGTGCAGGATTTAGATAATTTTGCACTGGGCGGTGAAGCAGTCCAACCTTCATCTACATCTTATTAAAATCAACACATTCATGATACAAATCTTTTGAAATTATTGGAAATTTGCATCTGGTTTCAACATTTTTGTTGCTCATAGGTGATGATGACACTGAATGCACTTACAAATACAATGGTCTATAGCGTCCTCTAGTGGCTCAAGAGCTGCATTTCTCCAAACATACCTGCACTGGCTTTTAACAGTGATGTTTTACCATTTTAAAAGCAAATAACATTTACTTATGTTATTTTAAGTTTAAATAAATAAATAAATATTAAAGGGATGGTTTACGGCACCAAAGACTTCATGGTATTTTTTCCCGTACTATGGATGGAAGTCAATGGGTGCCGTAAACTGTCTGGTTACCAACATTCTTCAAAGTATCTTGTTTTGTGTTCAGCAGAAGACAGAAATTCATACAGGTTTGGAACAACTTAAGGGTGAGTAAGCAATGACGAAGTGTCATTTTTGGGTGAACTATCCCTTTAACCCAAGTGAAACTCTTCAAATGTAACATAGGCCTACTGTGGATATAGTCCCCTGTTGTTTAAAAGTTAAGAATGTCCACCTCTATACTAAATTGATTTTCACCCCTCAGATCCTGATGCAGCGGCAGTATTTTGTAATAATTACTCTTTTATTGTAAAATAAAAATAAACAGCCTTTTTTTCTTTGTGATTTAATACGCGTGATTCTATTTCGACAATAATACAAAGTACATAATTAAACGTAAGAATATAATAAATGAATGCACTAACTGTATATTCAAGAAGAATATAAGAGGACCTTTATTTTGCCTTGTAGTTCCCGACAAGTAACTAGACCCGGAAACACCTTTTATTATAAATGTGTCATACGTGAGTGGGGTTATATTGCATTGCAGACAGACACAGGCCCTCAGACTCACAGTAATGGCCGGTAAAAGAGCTCTAGTGATTCTGGCGAAGGGAGCGGAGGAGATGGAGACGGTGATCCCGGTGGATGTCATGCGCAGAGCGGGGGTCTGTACAACACACACATGTTATATTGAGTGCCACTGAATGCATGTCTGTGGGCTTCCAGTTATATATTATGCAGGCTCTTATTTTTTTGCGGTGATCTTTGTAAAGTGAATGCAGTGATCAGGTGTTTCTTTTGCATGGATGTTACTCATGTGCAACTGTATATGGTCACACACACTGCTGCCAGACTCTGAGCTGCCACTGTGTAAATGCCAAAGTTTGCAGAGAGTCAACTGGACTGACTGTGACGTTATTACAGATTTTATAAGTATTTTTTTGGGGAGAATGTGTTACTTTATGCAAGGGTGCATTACATTGATCAAGAGTGACCGTAAAGACATTTATTATGTTAGAAAATATTTCTATATATTTTTTAAAATGCTGTTCTTTTGAACTTTTTCAAGAATCCTGGAAAAAACTTAGTAGTTTGCAACATAGGTTGCACAAATATATTAAGCAGCACAACTGTTTTTAACATGAATAATAATCAGAAATGTTTCTTGAACAGCAAATAAGCACATTAAGAGTGATTTCTGAAGGATCATGTGACACTGAAGACTGGAGTAATGATGCTGAAAATTCAGCTATGATCACATGAATAAATTTCATTTTAAATATTATTTGATAATATATATATGTATGTATGTGTGTGTAATTTGAATAATGATATATCCTAGAAAAGTAAGCCCTGTAAACATGCATGTTATATAACAACTTTTGAAAAAAAAAAAAGTTTCACATTAGTTTCAAATGTAAAAAATATACTGATTAAGAAAAGCAGAAACATAAAATCTCTTATTATTTACATCATTCAATCTTAAACGAATTTCACAATTAGGTTTGGCTTTATATGTATGATTGTGTCCAATGCCAGCTGTTACACAGATATATGCCCCTCATCTCTCTCAGATTGCTGTAACTGTGGCAGGTCTGGCTGGTAAAGAGCCAGTGCAATGCAGCCGTGAGGTCATGATCTGTCCCGACTCCAGTCTGGAGGACGCCCGCAAACAGGTTCGGCTTTAGCTTGGTCCCCATAAGTTCAAAGTTGGCTAGAGATCATCTTCTGAATTCAATATCAGTCTGAATCTCAATTCTTCTGTGAACTGATTTGGGCTGAATGAAGTAGAAGATGAAGGTGAATGGAGTGTTGTCTCCATCTACTGGATAAATAATGCATTGCCAGTAAAACCATACCATTAAATTTAAATTTATAGACTTTCTTAAAACATTTTCTTTTTACCCTTGACATGTACAAATGCACATCAGCTATATATCAATCTTGATAATGAAAGCGTTCCTGGTTTGCCGCTTAATGCAAATGCATGCCACTTTTCTGACAGGGTCCATATGATGTCGTGCTTCTGCCTGGAGGTTTGCTCGGAGCTCAGAACCTTTCTGAGGTACAAATATGTTTTAATTATGTGTATTAACAGTTGAACGGATTCCATAGGAGAGTGTTACGCCATGCACATCTTGCATAACATTATGCCGTGTCCCTCAAATAAATAGAAAACATCTTTGAGTCATCTGCTGAGGTTAGACATGCGGTCGTATTGTGAAATGCAAACATTGCATAATCATGTAAATTTAAGAGGTAGTGTGGCAGTAATTTCAGTAATGCATATTATATGTGTGTGTGTGCGTGTTTTGTAGTCTCCCGCTGTGAAAGAGGTGTTGAAGGACCAGGAGGGCAGGAAGGGTCTGATCGCTGCAATCTGTGCAGGTAATCTTCATATCGTGACCTCTGTGCACACATTAACCTTTCCCTGAATTAACATCATTTATTTCAACTGTTTCAGTGCTGCTCCATTATGAAAAATGTCGGGAAGAGAAGTCGTATATTACCTTTGTCCTCCTGTATGAATTTCCCTGAGGGCCTCTGGTAATTTTTTTCCCATAGGGCCTTTGTCCCCGTTTGTACACCTGAACCGGCTGAATAATTTCTGTGCCACATATCTATGTCAATATGATGCGCACAGCTCAGTGGATTATAATTATGACTGCCGATCTGTAAAACTAAAAATCTGAAATACAAATTATGAGGATAATGAGTTGTAATAATTGGCAGTATTAAGCACGTCCATCTTCATTTGGAAGCGTATTGAACACCGAGACGTGTGCTATCAGCTCTGCTGTTCAAGGGCTTGTGAAGGACGTGGTGAATGAGGACAGCGAGCCCATGTGGCCGTAGAGAGCGCAGGAGAGTGGAAGGCGTCCCAGAAAACGGCAGATGTCCCTAAGAGATCTGTGCTGAACAGAAAACTGCTTCTTTTAGTGCCGTGGAATACCTTTAAAACTATATTCGTGAATTCAGAATGCATGATTACATTGTCGAAAACACAATTTCTCTGGTAATTACACTAATTTGAAATCTGCATCCAAGTTTTTTAGCTTCAGTCCATGTCTGTAACCTTTATATGCTATATGCAAGTGTACTCCTAACAGTTGACAAACTAAACTTCTATATTAAACAAACGCACACACACATACATGTGTATATATATCAAAATTTTACTTGGATTGTAAATTATTGTTATATGTTTGGATCGAAAATATTTTTTTATTATGTTGCAATGCCATTATATGCCCAGTGTTATTTTAATATTGGTGATTATACTATTATGTTTTTTTATTAATATTTTGAATTAGACTTTAAAAAAATCTATTTTCTGTTTAAATTTTTAATTTAAAGGTTTAGTCATTTTGTTTTTGTCATTTAATTTTTTTTTTTTTTTTAGATGTGTGTATATATATATTATATCTATCTCAATATATATATATATTTATCAATTGACACCTATATATTTCCTTGACACCTAGCTGAAGTAAAATAAGTTTATTTTTTATTATTTTATTTTATTAATGTTTAGTTAAGTTGTTGTTTTATTTCAAGTAATGAAAAGGATTTTTACGGTTTTAGTTTTAGTTAACGATAATAACCCTGAACGTGCCCGGTCATGATATTTTGCAAGCTTGACTATTCAAATGCAGTATGTTACATGTAGTGAGGCTTGGATACCCTTTGAGACTGTGATTGGGACATAAAGGTCTATTATACCTCCCTGTCTTTTATTTCCTTTTGTGGACTGAGCTTCTGACAAGCAAGACCCGTAACCGTAGATGCCAGGGTCAGATCGGTCAGCAGACGTCCTGCCAGAGAAAGTGTAATCACTAGACCGCACTGGGCGTCTGCCAAAGTGCACAATCAATAGTTAAGAGCTCTCTTTTCATTAATGTTCAGATGAGCTTAGTGCACAGCCAGGGCTGCAAAGTCGGCTGTTATTTTTAGACCCTATTTTTACTTCCTTCCGTTCGGTCTTCCAATGCGGATTGCAGAATTAGATGGAAATTGTATACCTGGTTTATTGGTTAACAATATTTTGATGTTTGACTGATGGTGGTATGATGAACACCATGTTAAAGTCACTTTGCCTCTACACTAAATCATGACTTTAGACAGAATTTCAGACTTCAGCAACACCACACACACAAAAAAAAAGAATAACAGGATAATTATTTTCTTCGTAATTTCCTACTTTTAAGAGAAAACAGAAGTGATGATCTAACTTTATATCATTTTTTGACCTCTTGCAGGCCCGACTGCACTTTTGGCTCACGGTATTGCATATGGCAGCACAGTTACCACCCATCCAGGTGCCAAGGACAAGATGATGGCTGGAGGTAATGTCTCTATGTATACCTAGTGATTTTCTCACAAGCATTGATGTCAGTGATGGAAACTTGCATAGTTGAAAGGCATGTCATGGAAAAGATCACAAGATAAACATCCAACAGAGGGTGCTGTAGGTGACCGCACAATGACAAATGTTGGAAAATTATAAGTAAAGTAACAATGGGTGAACTTAATGCATAACATGCACTGTTCATCTTACTGGAAATGTATGGGCAAACTGTTTATTGCATTGTGAGATGCAATATTATGTAGGCTACTGCATATATCTATAAATGTTGTTGGTCATCCGGGATTTCTGTGCATACTTAATACAGTGCACAGTTTACAAACTATGTTCAATGTAAAAGTAGTATGGCATCTCATGCAGACAAAGTATTTTACAGCAGGAGAACAAAGTTTGTACTTGTAGACTGTGGTGATATCTTTAGCCATATGAATTATTTTGTGTTCTTCTTCTAGATCATTATAAATATTCAGAGGCACGAGTTCAGAAGGATGGAAACGTGATCACCAGCAGAGGGCCAGGAACCAGCTTTGAGTTTGCCTTGGCTATAGTGGAGGAGCTCATGGGTGCAGACGTCGCTGCCCAAGTCAAAGCCCCACTCATCCTGAAAGACTAATCATCAGACTGTGAAGATCCGCACTGTTTAAAGTTGCTTTTACAATTGTAGTGCTCTGCTGATATGAAAGGGAGTTTAATTTAATTGGCTTAGTTTTTTTTTCTGATGCATAGAAATATGAATATTTAATGAAATGACTTCAATATATGTGAAGAGAATTATTGCAGACTGGCCATAGATTATTTAAATGGCAATAAAAGTAAAATAGCTTTTGGCAGCTTTCGGTCAGATCCTAGTTTTTTTTTTTTTTTTTGCTTTGCACTTATAAAGTTCTGTACCAGAATAAAAGTATAGTGCTTTAAACTCATGAAGTCTCTTAATAACGTCTACATTTAACATGAACTGATATCTATCTGTGTTGCTTGTTCAAATCTTGAGTAGTTTGACGCCACAACAGCAAGGATACATGTGTGTGTGTGTGTGTGTGTATTTTTTAACAAATTAATCAATATTTAATCTATTCGTCTTTAATGCACCACATAGTTTGAGGATAGTGCATTGATCAGGCCTGTATAACTATTGGTCGCTTGTAACAAATTTCCAGTGACGTACTACAAGGCCAACCAATCAACCGCCGCTGTCTTGTCGCGGTGCGTCTCAACCAGCCAATAGGAGCGTCCCTGCGCAGCGCGAGTGTTTCTTTTGTAGCGCGTGGCGTGAAAGCGGCAAAAGAAAAGTCATTCGTTGCAGCTTGACCAACGTCCCTCTGACTGACCGAACTCGCGACATCCCATAAAAGCTGTTTTTAAAGTCGAAAATCGTTAAACGTCAATGAACCCGTATCTCTCTTCAAGGTAAGAATACGATATTATATCCATGTTTAACATCTGTTATGCTAGAAAAACCACGACTAGAGACTTTTTTTGCTGCGGTAAATCGCTGAATATTTCATATAACTTAATGACGTTAAACTGCCGTTATCTCTGCATGTATATGAGGACTTGTAAGGCTACATGTTATAAAGTTCGGAAATGATAAACAACTACTTTCTGTTGTATTTTACTATTCGCCATCTATTTTAGCTGGTTTATCGTCTCAGAGAGGTTTGATTTTGAGTTTTGATTTAAGATTGAACTGTTATTTCGTGATGAACAGCTGCTGGAGTCAACATCTGCTTCCATATAATAATAATAATACTAAAAACATGCCATATTTTTGTTTACCATCTTTTAAATATGATTTATACTCTAAGTAGAAATGGGTTTTGCAGAATATCCTTCGCATCACCCTTTACTAGTATTTACCATGGTTGCTATAGTTTACTGTAAAACACCTTTTTTACTGTTACTACTGCAAAACATGATAACGTTTCAGCTTACTTAGACGGTGAAATAATATTTCATTTAGTTTATTTTTAATGTTTGATGACATTGGCTTATACCAAGTTAGTTTAATTAAAATAACAAACACTGTGTTATGGTATTTTAGTGGAAATTATGGTTATCATGGTACTTTTGTGTTTTGTATGAGGGAACTGCCTAAGAAAACATATGCACATATTCACCATTTACATTACATGTATACATTTTTCAGCTTTTATACAAAGTGACTTAGATTACATTCAAGGATGCATGCTTTCACTAGGAATCGAACCAATGACCTTGGTGTCTTACGCTACTGTTTTGAACTATAGGAATGCATTCAAGGATATTGAGGAGAGTTTTGCACATTTGCTGACGTGATATACCTGGATTTTTGACCAGACAGATTGACTTGAATTAATCTGTCTGAAATGCACTCAAGAGGCGTTCACACTGACAGAGATTTGCAGCAACCGAGCAGACATCAATCATTTTCAGTGAGAATTAAGAATTTGCAACAAGGCTTCTCCAGACATTATTGACACTGGTGATATGACAGTTATGCAAATTAAAACTTTATGCAAATGAGCAGCCGACATAATGTGGTGACTAGCAATAAGCAATGCCTGATGCAGTTGGATACTGCGGTGAAGTAGGAATGCTTACTAAAAGATTGCAAACGCTCACACAGCAAGGAAGTCTTCACTCTCATTGGTAGTTGCTGGAACAAGATGCTCTGCCTTTTGACAATTTGCATAAAAAATTACTTTTCTCTGAGTTTCTGGATTCGGCCACATCCTGTCTGCAATAGTTGCTCATATACTGCTGGAAGCTCTCTTTTAAATTGAACGTGTTCTGGCCATTTTGTCGTGGCAGTGTAGTGTAAAAATGGTCTTTAGTTTACACAGGGTGAATGAATATAATTAGAATTGATTATTTAACCTTTTTTAAGGTGTTACAATATAATGCAGTATTCACTTTTTTTAATGAACACAAATTATTTATGCATGCATTCAGGCCAAACTGTTTGGCAGTCAGAGAAATGCACTTGCTTTATCAAAAAATAAGTCTTCCCCTGTGTTCACACTTCAGCTGGGCTGCAGTTACTTGAGACCGCCCCTCAAGCCACATGTGAATGTGCTTTTCTCAACTCGAGTGCAGGAACAGGAAGGTGAATTAAGAGGCAAGAGTTCTCCTCACAGGATGCATGAAGCGCATCTTTTTCTTCTTCTATTTTTTTTTTTTTTTTGCGGGCCTGTGCTCCGTTACACTGCAGCGCTGCAAACCAGTGTATAAATAGAAACCACTGTCTTACTCATCTTTTAACAAGCTGCATTTGGGACTAGAGTACTGCCAGGAGTCATCCAAACAAAAGAGTAACATTGCACACAAATGCAGCACAAAGAGTATTGCTGGTACAACAGTGTATATAATAGCTTGCATAGTTGAGGGTTGCCCTTGAGGAATGCACAATTTGGAGGCATTGTAATAATGTGAATTCATCTAGAAAAGATGGACAGTTAATTCCACTCTCTTCCTCAAAGATATTTCTGGAATATTAGCATATTTTGCGGCACATTTTCCTGCTTGAGTAGCTGTACAGTAGAGAGCTGGCGGCTAGACTCTGGCAAAGAGTGGCGCGTATTAGCCAGACTGAGTCATTCATTGGTTCAGCGATGCAATTATGGGAGTCCATGATTGCACTTCCCTGATTGGATCTTCCCTCTTAACCATATCCGTTGGTTAGGACGAGGCCAGCACTTAAATGGATAGTTCACTCAAAAATGTACATTCTGTCATACTTCACCCTTGTTGTTCCAAACTGGTATGAATTTCTGTCTTCTGCTGAACATAAAAGAAGATATTTTGAATAATGTCGGAAAACAGTTGATTTCCATAGTATTTTTTTCCCCCATACTATGTGAGTAAATTATAGGATTTTCACTTTTGGGTGAACTATCCCTGGCTTTAAGGCTCGTTCAAGGACGAAAACTATACAGTTTTAATACTCTTTCTAATTCTGTGCGAATAGGAAAGTCCAAACAACTATGACATTAACAACACAGAGGTTTGGAATGATATTGTTGGAATCACTTTCAGAATTATTTTTTTCCAGCTGATGAACAATAAAAACACTGACAGCCAATCAGAGTCCACTCAACATTTAAGAGCTCGAGCATTAAAAGCGCCAGACAACAAAACTGCAGCGCACTTACAATATTCAACTTTAGCATGCATTGGTGTGGATGCTTATATAATTGTCATTATACCTATCTTTATATTTATCGTTTTTGGTGTGAATGGGCCTTTTTAGAATTCCGAATGCAATGAAAACTTCAGGTTTCAGCATTGCTTTATATTACACGTTTACACGACTGTTCCTTCTCAGAAACATAAAACCCTCTTTTCAGAAATGAAACCGATAACAGGAAACACTTATCCAGTTTAATGGTTAGGTTTTTATTTTAATGGTGTCTCAGACCAAAAAAGCATGTTTGTGCTACTTCAGAGTAAATTTGATTTTTTTTTTTTTTTTACATTCAAATTTTTATTGAATTATTTGTTTATTTAGTTTAAGGGACATATACATTCTCTCACCTGTCCTTGTGATGCCCTTAATGTCCTTAAAGCTTACTGGAGTGATGTGATATCCAGTGTTTTCTGAAATATTATGGATGGTTGATTGCTGTAATTTGTCATATTTTATCTCTGTGACATTTTCAATTGCAGGGGTTAATTAGAAACCTGTCAGATGGTACGGTGATCATGATTATAATAGTTACTTTATCCTTGTGGTTATGTAATTAGCTGTGCAAATGTAATTCCTACATTTCCATTTCTAGAGGGACTTGGATTTTAGACACTATCCATAATGTGCAAAAATGACCTGGTCGTTCCCAGCGTGGGCTTTACTGTTGTATCTTTTCAAGGTCAAGGTTGTGTTAAACATCTTTCTTAGAATTACAGCAGTTTGCTGAAAATGAGCTCACCTGCTTCATTCCTTTCTCAAACTATTGTTTTCCAGCTGAGAAACGGACGCAGTCCTGCAGGAATTGAAAATACCTCTCTTGTCATCATGAGAATGCCAGTGCACATCCCAGTGGGAAGGCTGTGAATGTTGCTTGATGCTGTGACAATTTATTGTCTTTTCTAAGTGCTCTTTAATCTTTGAGTCAGGGAAAGAACAGTGTAAGGTGTTCAATGTGCTATTATTTAAAAAAATGTATTGACATGCTCTTGTAAGCTTTGTTCTTGTCTCACCATGTAGTAATTTTTTTTTTGACATTCTGAGGCAAAGGAAGTTTCCATCACACAATTTTTTTTTTTTTTTTTTTTTGCTTAACAAAAGATTTAAATTATTTGAAAGGATTTATTCCTTTCCTGATGTTGCTGAAGACAACCTCTTGAGCTGTTTTGCCTGTGGACCTATTAAAATGATGGTTAATGGATTTCTATTAAGGAAACCTCATTGGTTTTTAATGTTATAACTTGTCCATCAAACACTGATGCATTGCATTTATAGATTCAGTTGAGAATTTTCCAGACAGCATCCCAATCCTGTTGATCTTTTTGCTCGTTCCACTTATACATTATATATACACATAGCTTTGTGAATGTTTAATCGATTACTGTGGTCTTCTTCAAGAATGCATTTATTCTTACACTCTTCTACGTAGCTAGCAGCACTCATAGTGCTTAGGCTAAATGTTAAGGTGTTTCCTTTCCTTGTGGTCTCCAAGCTGCAAAGATGTGAATAGAAAGGAGGCATA